CTTCCATTCATTGTGTGCAATGGCTGAGCCTCAGCTGTGCATCCTTGGACAAAAACCTTTGTGCTCTCATCAAGAGGTTCACACCTCTGACAAGATGATATCCTTTTGACGCAGGGGAAACTACAGTCTCTTCTCAACTTTAGCAATACAGAAAGACACGGGAAGCAAAACCTGGAGCAAGGAGCAAAAGCCAGTGAGGGCACCTCTTCCCCTAGCCCCAATGAGGGTCAGAAGGGTTCAGCCTTGCATCCCTGGCCTCTGATGAGGTGCTTAGTAATTCTAAGTGTGCATCCACAAAGTACCAACAAGATTTAAGGAAAAAAGTGGTGGAAGATGGTGGATTTTAAATGTACCAGTGCTATTGGTTTGTGTTGACATGTTATTGCACACATTCCTCAGTTTCACAGAATCAGGGTTAAATAGAAGGGCTACAGATTTAATCTTTATTTCTGTTACAAAATGTAGGTATCAACCCAAGTTAAAGCAGTTCATACCTTAACATGCTTTCAGGGTTTTCACTCCATGGAGCATTTCTGCATGGAAATGTGTTTTGGGATCTCTACAAGACAGCTGTAATGTTTAAACCAGTGATACTCAGCAGCTCAGGAACCACATGTGGTTCTGTGGCATGCCATCTGTGGCTCTTCTGAGCACTGTTACCCATTATGGTACCTGCCCTCTTCCAGGGGCTTGTGGTTGGCAGGTGGTTCCCACCTTGAAACACCCACTGTCCCTTCTGGTGCATATTAAGTCCTCATCGGACTTTTTAAAAAGAAAAGGTCCCCCTTTTGGTTAACTTATACATTCCTGTCTTTCTGTATACCTGAAGAACCCCCCTCCATAGCTAGGCAGGGGGTTGGGTGGCTTTTGTCAGCCATACATGATCTCGCTTGCTTAGTAGTAAATAAAATGGTTAATAAAGCATGGATTCTATTCTGTGTAAATGATTGGCAAGGATTGCCTCAGTAATACACAGTAAGTGTATTGTGTGCTGATGAGCACAACACTTCTCCGTACCTTCTGTGGACAAACTCTATATAGGATTGCACTGTCTTGAACCCTTTTTTATTCCATCTCTATGATTTACTTTATCGGAAGAGTTACTGGAACTGGATATCCTAGGTTAAAAGTATATTTTTAAGCCCTATCCTAATAATTCCTACCATCAAATTTGCTTTATTCACTGCCGCAACACATGGAAATACTTTCTGTAAACTAGTCCCTCTGACTCTGGGATCTGTTTCGTGTCAACTCAGACTGTATTGGCTTATATGTGTTTGGGATTTGTTATCACAGTTTTCAAATTACCTGTATGCTTCTTTTCACTGGGTATCATGAAGCACTGCTGTTTTCTAATGTCGCTAGTTTTCTTGGTCTTAATTGAATTAACAGATTGTCTACATTCTTCTGACTGTGACGTGCTTTAGAAAACTACCTTTCTTGAACCCAGTTCTCACCTTAATTTTTTGAGTCTGCCTATTCACTTTTACTGTCAGGTAACTAATCACTGAGACGAGTAGTCCAAAGTTAGTTTATTTATGAAGGAAACATTCTGAACATAAACAATTTTTGCTAATAAGATACCTTGGAAAAACAATTATAGTTACAGACTTCTGTGCTGTTAGAGAAAGCTTGTCTCTGTGTAGTCATTTCATACCCTTAAAACTTATTGTCATACAGGTATGTTCTTTGCTCAGCAATATTTCTACTGCTTTGGCATTAGAGCATCACTACTGAAGATTATTTATCCTTCGAGATATGTCAGGTTTTCAACCTCTCCAGTACGTATTATATCTCTATATAGTTTGTGGGATTATACATGTTTCTTGTTGTTTGTGTGTGAGATATGCTAATGGAAATCATCCTGCATTCAGACTTGATATCTATTGAAGGCACTCATTTTTCTCTTTAGCCACTGCAAAGTGCATTTCCCTTCTTGGCTGAAAATGTTTGTACAATCTAGAATCCCCTTCACTTTGTTTCTCTTCTTGTCACATCTGTTATAGCTGTGATATATAATGGTGTCAGTAGAATGTTGTTGACACAGACCAAAAGTTAAAATAACAAGCTTAGTAGCAGGACCAGTATAGCTATCTACATTTGCTTCATTCAGGGCAACACTAGTGGAGTACTTGATTCTGTTATCTGACAAAGTGGTTTCTAGCCCATGAAAGCTAATGCCACAATGTGTTTATTCATCTCTGAAGTGCCATAGGAAAGGGCTAACCATGACACTGTGTTGCAGCAAAATAAACATGAGTCTTGTGGCACATTAAAGACTAACACAATCCTGTTCCAGTATAAGCTTTTATGGACCAGGGCCTACTTCTGCAGATATAACAAGCAGATCCTCATTATGCTGACATTTTATGTTGGTCAGGATGAGAAAAACAAACAAGGGGCCACAAACTGCACTAAATACAGGATTAAATGTGATTGGGCAAAATTCAAATCTAATCATGAAAAATACAAAGACTATTCACTGATAGTGTGAAGCAATTTTAACACCTGGAATGGATGGGGAGTCCCAGATTTTACTATTGGAATTTTTGCTTAGTTGTCATAGTCTGTAGAGATGCTCTGCGGCAAAGTAGTTCATAATTATCCCAGGTTTTTTTTTTCTTTACTGCATCTGTTGTTTCCTCCTTCATAGCACATGTTTAGTCATTATGCTACAATTTAGTCAGGACTTTTCTGCTTAAACTACTGACTGGGAGCAGGCAGTAACATTGGCAACAACCTGGAGAAAAAGTCCTGCCCCTTCAACACAGGTTTAATGGAATGTTATTTGCCAAGTGATGTTAATTACCTCTGTGCTATGAAAAGCTACCCATTTCCACACAAAAGACCTCTATTAAACAGATAGGGCATTTTCTCCAGACCTCTTGGCAAGCCCCAGCAGGTAGACACTTGTGTCTGTGTGTAGAATTCTTTTGGTAGATCAGTTTTCTTCCAATTGAAATGGATGTAAGAAGAATTAGAATAAAATAAACTGCACAGCAGAACAGATTGAAGCCCAGCTTAATTAGAACAAGAACAACCACCACCACCTTGTAAGAGCAGAAGAGTGGGATACAAATTTTGTAAATACATAATAAAATAAATAACTTTTACATGGCTCAGCACTTTTTCCCCCTCCATAAGAAAATAAAGTCTGGCCTGCTGAAAACCTGCAGTGGAACTGATCAGGCTGTTTGCTTGGATGCTGAAGAACAAATACTGATAGTGCTATGGATTGTATTTTATGATGTGAATACTTCAGTCGCTGGCTCTTATTACTGCCTGCCTGATTAAATTTTACAGAGTTGTGATTCCCAGTTTGTTTGAGATTGAAGGCTCGTTGAGTTTATCTCATAAGGAGTCAGTGCTGCTGCCCAGAATGCTACTTTCAACAACTGTTGAAGTGCTTAAAGCAAATCAATACTTTGCTTTTAACTGTCACTTTTTCTTGGAATCTAATTGCAGCTCTAGTCTAGGGCATAATTTTCCATTGAATTGTTAATAATTGGCCAGCCATTCTCTGAAATGCCTGGATAATATTGTAATGAGAAAATGCAACTTAAAAGTTGACCTTCGGTTTATAAGTTGTCTTCACTGAGCAGGCTCTCCTCCCCCCCTTTCTTACAACTCATTGAATGTGCAGGAGGTCATACGGCATAATTCTTAAAGTCAGTTTTTCAGTGTTCTATTATGAAAATTCTGAGCTGAATCCAAACTTTTCTTCCACTTGTGGAAGGGGGAACTTTTTCAGGTTCCCTCTTCCACTGCAGACCCCTTGCCCACTTCATGCTCCATGCTGTTCCTGAAGATCTTCTGACATATAGCAGCAGCATATTGGGGAATGCAGTGCATATATTATTGAGCTCGCTGTACTGGTGCAAAAAAGTACTAAGTTGACTGATTTAGAAAATATATACGCCATCCCTATAGAAACCTGCTCAAGTTATTGACCCAACAAAGCCAAAACTTAACAGAATTAGAAATGAGAATGCCTGTTTGTTTTGATCTCTTTGAGGAAATTGTAATTTACACTGCTAAGGTTCTAAAGAAAGAAGGAAGCAGTGGTACTAAAGTGGGCAAAATTGTGTTGTTTCTTGATATTCTTAAAACTATTGAAGAGACACCATCACAACAGCCATAGCTGAAGAGGAATCTCTTGTATGTGTTATTTGGCTGGTTGATTTATGTTACTTATTCAAAGTAAATGTATGATCAGGCCATATGTTTTGCAGCATTAAGAGGATGACCCTGTGTGTATTTACTCAGAAGTAAATTCTGTGTGTGTTAAGTGCCATTAAGTCATTTCTGACTTATGGTGACCCTATGAATTAATAACCTTCAAAATGTCTTGTCATTAACAGCCTTGCTCAGGACTTGCAAACTGAGGGCTGTGGTTTCCTTGACTGAGTCAATCCATCTCATGTTGGGTCTTCCTTTTTTCCTGCTTCCTTCATTTTGCCCCCTAGCATGCTTGTATTTTTAGTGAGTCTTCTCATAATGTGACTAAAATACAGTAGCTTCAGGATAGTCATTTTAGCTTCTAGGGAGAGTTCAGGCTTGATTTGTCTTCATCTGATGGAGAATACCCTTGTGGACAAAATCCATGAAGCACAGGGGCTCCAGAGAGGGAATAGGGTGCAGTCACCCGCCCCCCCCCCACTGGAGTCCAGAGTGTCATCTTGCATTTTGTCCACAGGAATCTAATGGACCCTCAGCACTGGATTTTTGGGGGTCATATTTGACAGTGGGAGATGGCGGAGAAGATCTCTTTCTGCAAGTACCTGATTGTCATGGTGTTTGGGATCCAATCCATTGTTTTCTTTTTGTTATTGTCATGCATGTGCTGAAACAGTTCTGTTTTATATTGGATTGTACATGTATTATCTGTATCCATGGTAGTCTGCTATGTAGAGAAAACAACACTTATTACCACACAGTCTAACACTAGGATACTGTGTGATTCTGTTAAAAATCCTCTGTTCTCTTTATTTTGTATGTAGACTATGGCCTTCAGACATAAAAATGCAAAACGAATTGAAGGGCTTGACAGTAATGTATGGTAAGTAACAATGAATGATTAATGAAAATGAATAAGGAGTGAATGCATAAATGATGGAAAGTGCCTACATTTTGAAGACCGGTTTGTGTGGTGTTTACTGAGGATTGGTAGCTGAGCGGGGGGGGGGGGGGTTTTTTTATATCTTTTTAGACTCCCTTCCTAACACTTTGATGCATAGAAATTGAGTGTGAAGGGTTTTTTTTTTAATAACATGGTGGTAAAGGTGATTCCCTGCTAATGTTTTGCACATTATGCTACTCTTGAAGGCAGAGTTACAGGTATCGCTATAAAAGATGGCAACCTTATTTTCAGTCCCTCACCTCTGTCCCCCAAGTTTCCAAAGGAAATTCTTTAGTGCTGTCAGGTTGCCTCAGAATCTAGTTCTGTAGTGCCCTGGTAACAAAGGTCCCAGAGTGCCTTTCAGCTTAAATGTCTGCATTCCCAAACTCTCCTTGGCCCATCCATGGGACAAAAAGCCTACAAAACCATAAGCTGTCACCACCAGATTCTTTTTCAGCAACTGGCTGCCTACTGTAACTACAGTCTTAAGGACATTTTCCTTGGAGTAAGCTAATACACCACTGTAGGATTACTCCCTGAGCTTCCTATATGACAAGTCTCCTTCCGCCATTAATGGGGCTCAGGAACAAAGTTAGAATGATTTTAACATAGTTAGGCAAAGTGGAACAACTTTAAAGATTTAGGCTAGTATTCAAAATGTAAAAGCTATTTCTTATAAGAGAGAAATCAGAGGTTTACATGCATTTTGGAAAAGTAGAAAGCATAGAAAAATTGAACAAAATATACTAAGCGTGTTGAGATGAACAACTGATGATCACTGGATTAAACACAAACAAGCCTTGCTGATAGAACTTTTTTAAAAAGTATAAACTAAAAAAAACACTATTGAGCCAAAGTATAATATAGTTCTGTTTTCCTTTCATAGGGTGGAATTTACCAGCTTAGCTGCAGATCCCTCAGTTGTTAATCTCGGACAAGGCCTTCCTGATATATCGCCTCCTAACTACTTAAAAGAAGAGTTGGCAAAAGTAGCCTTTGTGAATAGGTTAAACCAATATACACGTGGTTTTGTGAGTACATTTTATGTTTCTGAGCTTGCCTGGCTATGTTTTAGAATGCTTGCATGCTCCTTTCTGGGTGTGAATTCTGATGCTCCATATGTCAAGTGTAGATTCCTTTTTAAAGACAGCTGTTCCATAGCAACTTTTATTTTACAGCACAACACATCTATGCTAATTTCAGGGTCATGAAGAAGGTCAAGAAGAATAGAAATGTGGTGGACTTCCGGCGGTGCGGTGCTGCGACGGGCGTGCCTCTCGGGAGCTCCCGGAACTTCCGGCAGTGTGGCACTGCGACGGGCGTGCCTCTCGGGAGCTCCCGGGACGCCCAGCTCTTGCGCGCTCTTTTCGGAGCCCCCCGAGGTTCGGGGGTGGCTCTGCTTGGTTCTCCTGGAGGGAGACCAAGTGCATGAGGCTTCCCGGCCCCTCCCGGTTCCCTGGCAAGGACAGGGGGGAGACCGGCGTGCCTCGAAGCGGGAGCGCCATGAAGACCGGGAACATGGTGGCCATGTTTCCCGACAAGTAGCTGCCAGCTGTGCTTTTAACATTTTTCTTTTTTCTACGCTGAAAGAAACTTTCCATGTCTTGGTGAAGAGTACCGATAGCGCACAACCTGACCGAAATAGAAGGACTTATAAATACCCTTTTCTTGCGGATCCTCCCCATGGGTAACAAAACCGGCCGTGAAAAGCTTCCGGGAACCGAGTGTGAAGAGCATTGATGGGGTAAGAAGCAATTTCTGCTAGAAGCAGGATTAACTTTTCTGGAAAACTTTACTAGAACATTAAGAGGACTACTGAAATATATATGGTCTAATTGCTAAGAGTTGACTGAAGAGTGTGTAGAAAATGGAGACTGCTCCAGTTTGTAAGGAAATACAGGATACAATAATACGGGAACGCAGGTCCGAACATTTTCAAAAAACCGTGCAAGAAGAAACAAAGAAAGCATTGGACCTAGTATGGGATAAACTCTTGAGGAATTCACAGTGCTTATCTAATAAGGAGGAGAATAATACAGATCAAATAAAAGAGACACAAGAGAGGACTGAAATGCAACAAATAAACCAAGAGAGAGAGCAGCGTGATATTCAACGTGTGTTCATAGAAGAAGAGTTACATGAGGTGGGCAGACCGAAGAGGATGGAAGAAGGTGAAAGCAAGAAAATAGGAGTGGATGGAAAAACTCATCTGTTAAACCCTACACGCAGAGGAAAAAAGAATGAGAAAAGGAGAAAAAGGAGAAAAAAGCGGAAGAAAGGCTTTAAGGAAGCCAAAAACCTTAACATTAAACAGTTGAACTGGGATATAAGAGACCAGGGAAGAGATAAAGTGTACAAAGACCAATGACATTCAATTGAAAACAGGAAAAACCAAAGCAGAAAAGAACTACAGCAAAATGCCATTACTAGGAGTGATAATGAGTGGCTGCAGGATATTGATGCAAGCCATAGGCAAACTTAAGGGATAGTATAATTGTAAGGAGGATAAACGGAAATGTGTAATATGGGTTTGCTGCTTTAATATAAGTTTAAGGGGAAAGAAAAAAAATTACAACAAAATGTCATTACTAGGAGGGATAATGATTGGCTGCAGGATATTGAGGCAAGCTATGGGCAAAGCTAAAGAATAGTATAATTGTAAGGAGGATGAATAGAAATGTATAATATGGGTTTGCAGCTTTAATATAAGTCTAAGAGGAATATTAAGTAGAAAGGTGGAAATGAAATAGACTATACGGTCACTTCATGTCACTTCATGGAATGATATTGTCAGATTGTAGGTTAATGATGGCTCTAGTGTATGGGGAGAGAATAGAAATATAACAGAAGATGAATATTTCTTAAAATTAGTTTAAACAGGAATATATTATTTATTGTTTCTTTTATGATTATAGGTTTATTCTGGAGATAAAAATATAAGCCTGTCAATTAGGAGAGTATTGAAACCTGAAACCTGAAAGAGAGGGAAGTGATTGTTAAAAGTTTTGGGTTTGGGATGATTTGTAATAGATCTAAGGGGAAATAGATTATGTGGATAGACACTGATTAAATATAACAGTCGTATGAATTTCTTAATTAACTCAATTGGTTAATGAATATTCTAGCAGAATAAAAGATTTGAAATATGTAATCTAGGCAGAAATATATGAATGGAAATTAATTTAGATCAGGTGTGTATAATAGAAAGGGTTAGCTGGTGATTGTGAGGATAGAGAGATTCTATAGATCATGTGGTTAATCATTAACATGATTAAAGGGACATGGGAAGAAAAATAGTGGTAATAGAGTTGTATGGTGGTGGGTGGTGGTTTATGTATATGTTTGTTTTTCCTATATGTAAAAAAGCTCAATAAAAATTGTTAAAAAAAAGAAGAATAGAAATGTGGCTTCTGATTTTATTGCTTCAAACTGTAAAGGTGTTAATGTGGTCTAAAGAAGACAATGCAATTGGCCAGATGAATTGAAAATGTAATTGGTTGTAATTTCCTGATGCAAGATTGCTAATTGCTGACACATTTTTCAGCATACCAGGGTGCTTTGCAATTCCTACCTATTTCTTCTTCTGAGAACTGCATCTGGATGCCGTGGGTAGCAATGCTCCCTCTAAGCTGTGGAGTCTTGTGAGCCAAAATTCTACTTTGTGATCTACTGGCATTAAAGTTGTGAGGAAGCGATTTGGCTACTGCATACATTAGTTTGCTCTGGAGCCAAAAAACATTTGAGTTAGAGGCTAAAAAACTATGAGCTGGCTCACACTAACTCAGCTTAGAGGGAATGCTGGTGGGTAGTGACTTGCCCAGTGCCACCCAAAGATGGCTGAAGATGAAGGTGAATCCTGAACTTCTTTATATTCATATACTCATTTATATTTATATTATATTCATTTATATTTATATATTATCCATTGTCCTGCTTCATAAATTCACTAGAAAACAGCAGAAAAATGCCAAAGGGAAGACCATCAAAGATTAAATGCACTTGAAATGTCTGAGTATAGGATATATTAAGTAAGTGCTTACATTACAAATAAACATCTATAACGAGTTGGTGGTCCACAACCCAAAACAATGTTACCAAATATAATCATATGTGCTTATGACATATCTTACTTCAACACTGAGATACAGCTAAACATAACAGTCATTGCGCTCACAGGTGCTGATAACAAGGTATGCACATAAATCCAAACAGTCTATTCTTCTTGCTTAAATGCAATAAAAGTGTCTGAAGACCTGCTGCAGTTTAATATTGTTAGCCAAATAGGAATATTGAAAGGCACAAGCCATAGTATTACGAGCCAGTTTCTCCCTATATTGTAAAAGTTGCTTTCTCTCCACCTGATCAGCTTTCCTTCTAGCATTATTTATAACAGATTATGGATAACACCTTGCTCTAAATTGCTTTTCTAAAGCTCTTGCCTCCACGCTATAATCATGCACAGAAGATGAATTCCTTTTTGCTCTTAAAAACTGGCTATATAGTAAATTAGACCTTAAATGATATGAGTGGTAAGAATAAAAAAATATATGAATTTTTATCAGTTTGTTTATGGTAAGTTTTGACCGCCAGTTTATTTTTTTCATTTACATATACTGGCGTGTCAAGAAAATTAATCGTGTGATTATTATAATGAATGTCAAATTTTGTAAAGTAATGTAACGTATCCATTTGAAAAAAGAATCCATCAACTGGAATCTGTAAACAAAATTAAAATGTCATCTATAAACCGTTTAAACAGTTTAATATTGGTCACATAAGGATTGCTCCTCTCAGAAAGAATATGTTCATTTTCAAAAGCCTGCATGTATAAGTTAGCCAGCGTGGGAGCTGCTGGGCTTCCCATTGCAATGCCACATTTCCGGACATTAAAATATTGGTCAAACCTAAAGTAGTTATGTTCCTAAATTAGGTCAAGCAAAAAAAGTTGGCAGGGTCTGATCATGACATTTATTTATCCCTTACCTCATCATGAGAGATGCTCGTGTATAAGCTGTGACATCGAGTCACTAAGACTGTCTCCTTAGAAACTGTCAAGCCCTCAATTAACTGTATAAAGTGAGTTGTGTCATTTATATAAGATTATATTTTTGTGACCAAACTGGTGTTCCAAAAATTGAGCTAAAGGCTCTAGAACTGAGCCCACACTAGAGAATATAGGGCGAGCAGGGGGTGGGTTGCCCGGTTTATGTATTTTTGGCAGTGCACAAAATACAGGGACTCTAGGATATTCTACTGTAAGAAACGTATAAGTTGATTCATTAATATAATTCATATTGAAAGCTTCCATAATTGTAATTCTTATTAGCCTCTAGATATGCATAGTTGGGTCTTGAATAATGGTTAGTATTATTAAATAGTGTTCCCACCATTGTAATATAGTTTATTTTATCCATGACTACAATACCCCACTCTTGTCTGCCTCCTTAATGATAATATTAGAATCTGCAGCAAGAGTAAACAAGGCTTGTTTTTCAGACAAGGTCAAATTATGTCCCTTAAAATGTTGTTTAGTTTCCATATCCTCTATCCCAGGGGTGTCAAACATGTGGCCCGGGGGCTGGATGAGTCCCCCAGAGGGCTTCTATCAGGCCCTCTGTGGAACTGGCTGTCTTCTGCTTCTTCTTCCAGTTCTGCTGCTGCTGGGTCATTGTAGGTTTGCAGCTTACAGATACACACCTGAACAGCATACTCAAGATTGTAACAGCACAGACATTTTGATGCAGTAATTCAGAGCAAGAGGTGTCAGTTACCAGACACTGTTAAATAAACAAAATATTGCAAGAGTGCTAATGTTTTAAGTATGTTTTTATTTTAAGTAAAAAAAAGCCCTTTGTGTTTCTGTCCTTTATAAAGTCTATGTCTCCGCTACCTGGCATTACATTTTATGACACACATGGCCCGGCCCAACAAGGTCTCATTTATGTCAAATCTGGCCCCCATAACAAATGAGTTAGACAGCCCTACTCTATCCCTTTAAGTACAAGTCTTTCAAAGATCTGTATAGATGGTT